TAGAGTCTCCACTCATTTCTACATCGTGGCGACCAAAACTGGATGCCGTATTCCAAGTGTGGCCTTACCAAGTCATTATAAAGTGGTATCAACCCTTCACGTGATCTTGATTCTCTCCCTCTGTTTATGAAGCTTAGAACTGTGTCGGCTTTTTTGGCAGCTGCCGCGCACTGCTGGCTCATATTTAAATGGTTGTCCATTTAAATGGTAGTCGATGGCTACCATGTGGACATATTCATTTGTATCCTTTTTAAAAAAAAAAAAACTGCTCCTATTTTTTTAACCAAAGCATATGAAAGGAGGATGTAAAATAAACCAGAGAACTTTTTTCTAGATGCATAGTTTGAGGGGGGGCGGGAGGGAGAAGAGAATAACACAAAGCCTACTTTTTGTATTGCATTTCAACTTTTAGGGATTTATAAGCCATTATGTTCCCATATTATTAAAAGCCATTGCTTCGAAGCGCTAAAGTCCTTTTTAATAAATTTTATTAGAACAAACTAAGGACAGACACGTATCATATAACACAATTTGATCTAGATGTACAGGGGTAAAGCAGTTTTTTTCCAAAGCCCCATGTGGGAAGGATGCCATTAGGTACTGTTTTCCGTTCCAACAAAGCTTATGATACAGTGGACTTCCCCCACCTTCCACCCAGTCCTTTGACAAGCATTAAAAAAATCTTGGTTTTTGTGGCTCCAACTGTCTCTCTAATAAAGATATTGAGAGGTGCATCTGGGTGAGTTATGCAGTGATTACAAAAGAATTAAAGCAGAGACACGCAGAAATGTTTCACATTCTGCTAAGCCAGGGTGATGTATCACCATAATTGTCTGACTCAATCCCTAATGATTTCTTAATCCTGGCTTTCAATTCTAACAGAAATGCTGGAATCCTAAATCTTCAGTGTCAAACCACTGTAAAAGCTCGCTTGGCGGATGGTTTCCTGTTTATTTTTACAACTTGTCCACCTCAGCTTTGTACAGGCCAAAAAACAAGAGTTAAGACTGGATCATCTAGCGCTGCAAAACAGGATATCCCACATTATCTCTGCTTCCTGCGTAAAAGGCACAATTAAGTATCCAGGTATTATGAAGAGAATGAGTCATCTTTTCATTCTAAGCCATCTTCTGGAATTCACTGGGGTTTTCTGTTTCAAACACCAGAAGGCTGGCAAGGGAATGAATTCTGAAAATTTAAGAATACTCCATGGTATCCAAAATTAAGGAGCTTGCCCATACTTTAAAGGGGAAACAGATTGCTTAAGAAAACAAGGCAGTTAGTAGAAATAACCTTGTTTATACCCCTCACAATTATCTTTTGCAAAAAAAAGAATTTCATTTTATGTTATACTCACAAGACATGAAGGAATTCCATTTATACACAGTACAAAGAACTTGCAAAATACTATCCCCTCCCAAAGAAGATTTAAAAGAAAAAGTTAGGGTTCATACCTTCAGCTCTTCTGTTTGCTGTTTTACTGTTTCCAGCTCTGTTCCAACTGGTGACATGGAAGTTAATTTACTACCGGCAATATCCACCCAGTCAAACATAGCCTGTTAAAATAATATAATTAAAACAACAGGGCAAATAATGATGTAGCACATTGACAATGAGCTGTGTACATAGAGAATACTCTTTGCTACGTTAGAAGAACTGCAAGAATTCATACATTTATACTTTTATTTTCCTCATATTGTACATTTCGCCGTTTCTTTTGAAATTCTGATTTGCCTTCGTACGTAATGACATCATGACACATTCTTCCCCCACCCCCATCCCAGTTGCTCTGAAGTTTAGAGAATATTCTGAAGTGGTTTTAGGATTTAGAGGGGGGGAGTCCTGTCTCCTCTAACACAGGATATTATAGCCTTTTGGTCTAGAACAGAAGAGCTTCCTCTGACAGCTGCCAATTCATTTACTGGGATCTTGAATGTCTTCAATGACCTTTGAAGGAAGTTCAGAGCTGGACATCAGGTCATGAGCATTGGTGTGTGTGTGTGTGTGTGTGGGAATGAGGGAGGGAGGGAGAGAGAGGGGGGGGAGAGAGAATGAATAGACAAGATAGAATGGCAATGGCAGTTAGACTTATACACCGCTTCATAGGGCTTTCAGCCCTCTCTAAGCGGTTTACAGAGTCAGCATATCG